GTGCTAGAAGATATGGTTCCCATGAGTTACTTCTCGAGGACATTGTATTCGACTATAAGGAGGACGTTAAGGAGAATCGCTGGAGGTTCATACGAGCTTGGGGCATGGTAAACAGATCTGACCCCGAAGAGTTGGGACCGAAGACTTCCCTTCCTATGCAGCCTTACCTCCAATGGGTCAGAGCTCGTCCCCGAAGCTTATGATGCCTTATGCGGCCGTATTACCAGTGATTGTGGAGCCCACTAATGAAGAAGGTATTCCTTACACGGTTCTCTATCCTTACATGCCCACTGATCCTGGGGAGTTACAAAGGTATTGGATTCAGTTGAAGAATGAGTGGGATACTTACCGGGAGCAGTTCCATGAGCAAGAAAGGAAGGTTCTAAAGCTCACCAGGAAACTCGAGGAGGAAAGAGTGATTAATGATTATATCAGCACAAAGAGTAAGCGTCCATGGGACTTTTGATTTTGCTTTTTCTAGTTTTAGATTTGTTTTATTTACTTCTTTGTAACGCCTTAAAGGCATTGTTGAACCTTTTAAAGTTAAGCTAATAAAGTTTTGTTTATTTTTGGTTTGCAAATTTAAATCTCCCAAAGTCTTTGAAATCATTACATGTGCATCCCATTATCATGCATACCATTACAGGTACCATTACAGGTTTCTCATCTTCTTCGCTGTTTATTTCAGCAGAAATGTCTTCCAATCAAACCATCAAAGATCTTTAGGCACAGAACGCCCAGTTCCAACAGATGTTCATAAGTCTGGATAAGGGGCAAGAGGATCTGAAGACCCTCATTCTGAAAGAGAAGAAGAAGAAGAAGAAGAAGAAGAAGAAGAAGAAGAAGACTGGTATTCTGAACATGGGCAGAAGGTTCGGAGAAAGGTTGAAGCATCAAACTGATCTGACCTCTTCATCCAAGGAAGGGGAGAACCAAGAGAGGGAAAAGGACCCTAGTCTTGCAGTTTCTGACAATGATACTGATTTTGATGATGAGAAATATTCTCTTGTTGAGGATAGATACAAGCAGCTAGAAGACCATCTGAGTGCAATGGAAGTTCAGAAGATACCTGGTTTGGATTTCAGAGAATTGGGATTGGTATCGGGAGTGGTCATCCCCCATAAATTCAAATCTCCGGTTTTTGCCAAGTATGATGGAGTGTCCTGCCCAAAACTCCATCTCCGCTCATATATCAGGAAGATTCAACCCCACACAGCTGATAGAAATTTGTGGATGCATTTCTTTCAAGATAGTCTGTCAGGGACTCAGCTTGAATGGTTCTACCAGTTGGAGGGAGCTAATTTCTGAAACTGGAAAGATCTTGATGTTGCTTTCTACAAGCAGTATCAGTACAACGCCGACCTTGCTCCCACTCGTACTCAGCTCCAGGGTATGTCCATGGGTGCAGGTGAAGGTTTTAAAGATTATGCTCAAAATGGAGAGACTTGGCTGGGAGAATTCAACCCCCATTGTCTGATAGGGAGTTGGTTGATATGTTTCTGGGGACGCTGTCTGGTCCATTTTTCAATCACTTGATCGGCAGTTCATCAGCTGGATTCACTGAGCTGATTTTAATTGGAGAAAGAGTAGAAGCTAGAATTCGGAGTGGTAAAATACAGAAGGATACCTCTTTGAGTTCGGTAAAGAAACCTTTTGCTGGTAAGAAGGAGGCCAGTGCATTCTATAGCCGGAGGGGCCAAAACAGATCTGAACACCGTTAAACGGTAAATGCTGTAGTGATACCAAGACCCGCAGTTGCTCCACAATGCAACAATCAACAAAGGGGATAAAGACCACAACATCAGTTTACCCGCATCAACATGACATTGGTTGAAGTTTTACCTCACCTGTTGAAATCCAACTTGGTAACCTTGAGAGAGGCTCCAAAAAATCCAAACACTACTTCTCTCAGATACAATCCCAACGCACGGTGCGCCTAACATTCTGAGAGTCCAGGCCACGATACAAACGATTTCTAGGCTCTGATAAACAAAGTATAAGATTTGCTCGAAACCAAGGAGATAGAGTTTGATGCTCCAGAAAAGCCGAATGTTATAACTGCTCCCATGCCCAAACATGGTCGTGGAGTTAATGCTATTGACACCGATTTGTTTGTGACCTTTGTTGAAGAAATTCTACTCCTCTGATGATTGTTAAGAAGAATTTGTTGTTGGCCGGTTTATTTTCGGGTTATGGTGAAGGTTGCCACATGTGTTAGATTATACCTATTGGTTGCCGCTTGTTGAAGTCAGGTGTTCAGTGCTTGATGGATAATAAAGAGATTTTGTTTGAGAAGACTATGATTCCCGTTGTTCCCACTGAAGACGTTGCCATTATAACCATTTCCACCAATCCTTCCAAAGTTTCCTCGAGAAAACCTGTTAGGTTTACACCTGTTCAAAGAATTTCTCCGTTAATAATCATTGTTCCTGGTCCCATCCCGTACACCTCAGACAAGGTTGTCCCATGGCATTATGGTGCTGATGTGTATTACCACGGGTTTAAGAAAGAGATGAAGAATGAAGAAGCTGATATTAATGTCAGTAATATTTTTGGGACTAGTAAGGTTACCCGAAGTGGAAGGGTCTTCTCTCCCGAGATTTCCCCGAAGACTATCATCAAGCCCACTGTTATCCCAGCTACTGCTCCAACCAGCACTCCTAACATTTCTCTTATTCCCACTCCAGTTATTACACCTGCTACTATTCCTATTCTTACTCCAGTTATCACCCCTGCTGCTGAGCCATATGGGACTTGGGCAAGGAAATTATAGGTGAGCCTGCCCAGACGGAGGCACCTAAGAAAATCGTTGTGGAAGCCTCTGAACAAGAAATAGAGGAAATACTGAAAATTATCAAGAAGAGCGACTACAATATGGTCGAGCAGCTGGGGCAGACCCCATCAAAGATATCCATGTTGTCTCTGCTGTTGAGTTCTAAAGCCCACGCGAAGGCTTTGATTGCATTTCTCAAGAATGCGCATGTGACGCAGGAAACTTCAGCAGATCAGTTCAAAGATTGTGTGGCCAGCCTGACTGCTGACAATGGGCTGGGTTTTTAGATGCGGATCTGACACCGAAAGGAAGGAAGCATAATGATGCTCTGCATGTCTCAATTAAGTGCAGGGGCACTACTATGGCTCGTGTGTTGGTAGATACCAGGTCTTCACTGAATGTTCTGCCGAAGAAGGTGTTGGACCGTTTGGATTATGAGGGTTTGACTCTAAAGCCTAGTAACATTGTGGTGAGGGATTTTGACGAATCAAAGAGAATGGTGCACGGGGAGGTGGACATCCCTGTTAAAGTGGGTTCTCAAACTTTTGGGTCCACCTTCTACGTAATGGATATCAAGCCATCATATTCTTGCTTAGGGGCCATCCTTGGATCCATAGGGCTGGGGCAGTTACTTCCACACTCCATCAAATGCTGAAGTACCCAGTGAAAGGAAAGATCATCGCAATGCAAGGTGAAGAAGAGTATATGGTGAGTCATCTCAATTCCTTTCGCTACTTGGAGATGGACGGGGAATTCATAGAAACTCCTTGTCAGAACTTCGAAGAGGTCCCTCATACTTTGGCATCAACTGAAATTACTATCGGCAAACCTCCATTGAAGATGGCTTCTTTCAAAGACACCAGGGTTGTGGTTGAAGAAGCTGGGTGTAACAATTGGGGTCAGCTCCCTGATTTCACTCACAAAACTGACAAATTTGGTTTGGACTTTACTACAGGGGCTCAAAGGGCTGTTAGGAGCGCACAGATTGGAAGACCTCCTCTACACATCAGCAATCGGGGAATTAATGCAATTGAGGACAGTAAAGAAGATTCAGACATCGATGTAATACCCCAAATTTGTCCTACCCCTTTCGCTTTTATCTGGATTGCGCATCTCGCACTTTTCTCATGTACATAACCTTCATTAGGTCATCTAACACATCATGCATCATTAGTCAGTAATTTGGCACGGGATCAGGGATTTCGAGGAATTACATTATTGTATGCTTCAAGGCTCTCATCTTCGCACAAGCTTGTTTCAAGTGATCTCTCCATCAATCATTTGTGTGAAGCTAGGGTTTTATTTCATGGACTTGTTTATCATTAAGTTACGAGGTTATTCTCTTCTTATCTACATCAAGATACAAGGTATTCTCCATCCGATTTCATCGAGGCTCGGTCTTTTGGATCAAAGATATTGAAGAATTAAGGTTTCTCTCTGGTTTTGAGGCTCTCTTCTACGTTCAAGGGTAATTTAAATTGTTTCTTCAACGATCAAGATCCGGAGTTAGGGTTATATTCATTAAGCTACAAGGTTCTCCGTCCTCATCAAATGTTCTCAAGATCGAGTGCTTAGGGTTTTTGTCAATGTTTCAATTAAGAAAGCTTTGAGTTAGGATTTTGGCTCTTCTTTACATCTCAAGTCATTTCCTCATCAACATGTATCCAAGGCACAAGGTTAGGGTTGTATCTTCATCAAAGGGTTTTGTTGAGGGCATTGCATTTTTGTATTAAGATCACATTGCATTTTTGTATTAAGATCACCTTTCGTCTATCAAGAGATACACATGTTGCTTAAGCTACGTGACATAATCCTTGGTTCTTGTACGAGAAAAGAAATAGTTGCGTTCAATCTTATGCAAGCTCCATCAAAATTCATTCATGGTCATTCAATTCCATTCAAAATCACTATAAAAATACGTCATTCATCAAACTTTCATCCAAGTTCTTATTCAATTTTGTTTAAAGTACAAGGTAGAAACCATTGTTTACATTCACTTGAACCTTGCAAGATTAGACCGCTGCCTTTACATAAACCATTACAAGGTAACCTCATGTCACAAACATTACAACTCAAAAATAATTACAAAAATAAATTCTTATATCTATCCTAAAGCCTATCTCTTCATACTTCAAAGTCTTCCATGATAAGCCTCCATGCTTCAAACTCTTTGTCGTCTGCCATAATTTCATCCTCTTCAAGCCTTGAAATGAGCCGAAAGGATACTCTACCATGCCACTATCTCCCTTGCTAACACCAAATCCCATGCTTGAAAATCACAATTGAACCTGCATAAAACCAAGCATACCATATCAGTTTCAGCATAAGCGGCAATCCAAACATCATAACATCCCCTTAACTGCATAACCACATTAAAAAACAGTTAATTCGACAACCAATTTCCTAACAGATTTTCTAACAGCTTTTATAACTGTTAACCAAAACAGAATTTCCCATTTCTTAACCATTATTTCATTCCCTAACTGTTCCCTAACCTCCTAAAACTCTCAACCATTTTACGGAAGAGCAGATGTTCTCAAAACAGTTAATTCAACAACCAATTTCCTAACAGATTTTCTAACAGCTTGTCTAACTGTTAACTAACCTAACCAATTCACCTTCTAACCATTTTTTCCCATTCCTCAAACCTCTAACCAATTCATAACAACTGCAAATCCAAAACAGAATTCCTAATTGTATCTTAACATCCTAACAGAATTCTATAATCTCACCAACCTGCACATAAAACTCCAACCAACCCCTAACCGAATAGAATCAACTGCCAAACTCACTCTCCAATTCCTACAGATCTAACAGCATATGCATAGGAGAATCATAACAGAAAAGGATAGGGAGAAGAGACACGGTTAACATAATAGAAAAAAGATACAGAAAATAGAGAAGAAAAACTTACCAGAATTTCATGGGATTCTTGATTCTGCAGAAAGATCACACCTTCTTCTTCCATTGATCCTTCTTCATTCTCCACCTTCATCTTTAACCACCTCTAAAACTCTCTCTGAAATTTCTTCCCTGTCGGCAATCATCTTCAAATTCCCTCTTCATTGAAGCTCTTCAATCTTCACCACCATAACCTATTGCAACTTCTCAGCATCTGCGACATTCTCTTCAAGTTCTCCATGCTACATATTTAAGGAACGATCATCATCATCTCCTGCAAATTCGTCACACAACCGCGTCAAGATATTTGCATCAAGATCGTAGTTCAACAACAACTTTTGTGCACCGCAAGAACAACAATGAATTTGTAGATTCGGGGCAACACTGAAGTATAGCGGAAGTAGAAAATTAAATCGGAGGAGTTTTTGGAGAAAGATGTAGTGATCCCTGAGTATGAGGATTCGTCGAAGTCTCCGATCACCGTCGCTGTCGAGGTAGGTTACGCATCATTCTTCATCCTTTTCACAATTTCTTGATACCGGTCTGTAAAGGAGGACATGTAGGTTCTAACCCCCGTGGAATCGCGCTGAAGAGTCTTCGCACCTTCATGTAATTTCACTTGCAATAAACCTAGGGCTCAGATTTATCATCTATGACTTAGGCCATTTTTAGCGGAAATTGGTGGGATCTGATGCAGATATAGAACGAAGATGTGAAAACGAGGCGGTTGATGGTTGCTAATCGAGTTTTTGACGAGTGTAGGTGGGTGTCGCGGCGGCGGGATTGATGAAGAAGCTAGGGAGTCACGCGAATTGTTGAGCCTAACACATTCCAACGACGTCCTTTCTCCGACCTCACTGTTTCTCATGTTTAATTTAATTTAATTTTATTATTATTTTGACATGTATAAATCAGAGATAAAAAAATAATATTCAGGGAAAATGTTTGGACATTGGTACATGGGATTGGGCCAGATGCACTTGGGCTTGCCAATGAATGTTCTTCTATTCACACTAATTCCAGTCCACTGCACCTCCTAGCTTCTTTTAATTTTTTGCTTTGTATCTTGAATTTTGGCGATTTAATTGTGGTATTTTCTTCCATGATTTTTGGCTGAAATTTTGTGTGGGTACTAATATGTTACTCCTTGACTTAGTGATATTTTTTCATAATTTTTTCTATTAGCTTAGGAATTAATTGAATTAATGTTTGGTACTTGATTAGAATTAAGATTTTAATACGTTTTTATCGATTCTGTATCCTTGACTCAATTCCCTTGGCATGATTAGTGGTTTAACGGAACTTCTGGTTATACGCCGCATTCGCGACACGCGTTTGCCTTTATCTTAGTTGGATATCATTTCTGACTTTGTTTGTTTCTTGGTGAAGCTTGCTCGACGCGTACTCCTTGCTTATCCATCGATTTCGTCCGCTCTTGACGACTTGCTCGCTTTGGTAGCCTCTGCTACTACCCTTGTATTTTTCCGCACTTTACCGCTTTCTAGATACCATGAGAAGTAGGAAATAAAGAGCGTGCGCTCGAAGTCGCTGTTTAAAGACCTGTAGCAGGCATTCCGCACTTCATTTGCTATATGTGTTGTGCTTGTGTTTGTTTACTTTCTTGTCGATCGATGAGTCACTCAATTTAGCAATTGAGATCACGACTTCTCTCTCAGTGCATGCTCCATATAGGACTTTATCGCTTTCATTTATTTTCTGCCGATCGATGAGTCACTCAATTTAGCAATTGAGATCACGACTTCACTCTCATTGCATGCTCCCTATAGGATAGTTTTTTAGACTTTTCTTCGACATGCTAACCTAGGCAGGATCTCTTTAGGTGCTCTCTTGAGCTTATAAGCTTGCTTGCTTTATCCTTGTACATACCATGTTCCCTTAGGATGCGCTTGCTCCGTTCGGACGCAAGTTAGACCTTAGGTTGTAAACCACGCATGCTGATAGTAGGTAGAAACTTCCCCTTTCATCCTTGACATAGGGCTACCATTGTATGATAACATTTAGGTTAGAAATAGGCTAGTCCCCCTTAGACTCTTTTCTTCCCTTTTTACATCCTTGCATTTAAAACAAAAACTCATTTTCTTAGCAAATCAAAAACATGCTAATCATAGTTAAACCCTTTTTCAAGGTAACAAAAATACAAAACAAATTCAAACCATTTTGTGCGCTCGAGCACCTTCTCTCTAAAACCCTTTTCAGGTAAGGACATGATTAGTTTACTTCTGTGCCAACGCATAAGTCTCCAAAGGTCGAGCTGCGGCAGAAGGCGGAATTAACATTGTCCATAAAAAACACCAAAACAAACAAAAACATGTGATCCGAACTACGGTAGCTCTGACTCCTCAAAAAGGATACGTAGGCATTGGGGTATGGCCCAGGCGAGCACAATTTTATTTTCCCTACATTCTTTTCTCCTTTATTTTGCATGCATTCCCTTCAGTAGTATAGTAGACAGTAAGCATAGATTAAACACACCCATAAGATAGACAACAAGAGTGGATACCGTAGAGTACTGTGCTACCCCAAAATTTGCCCTCCCATATTCTTCAAGATTTGGCAAGATCAAGCTCCAAATGGGTCAAGGATTGCATAGTTCAAACACCCTCCTAACACAGTCAAAATTAGGGTTTTGGTTATTGCAAAGAAATTGAGGTTTTCAAGGGTCCAATCAAGTCCCATATACCCATATACATTGTCAAGCATCTATATGTCAAGTTTCAAGACTCACAGCATCAAGTTGCACAGTCAAAAGCCCTAATTGCTTCACAGTCAACTGTAGGGGTAAAATGGTCATTTGGCAGTCAAAAGTCAAAAATTTTGGTCAACATCTTATTTTGAAGCCACAATCATCATTTGATCAATTCTTGATCATGATTCCTCAAAGAATGGCTCAAAAAGTCTCAAGATGCAAGAGTTTCTATTTTTGGACAGCTGAAAAGTCAACTGTAATTTGACCAAGGCATAACTTTTTCATGGTTCATCAGAAAAATCCCATCCAATGCTCATTTTGAAGGGCATGACATTTCCTACAACTCATCTTCACATTCCAAATCCAAGAAATGCTCTCACAAAAAGTTATCAATTTCAACATTATAGGTCATTTTCAAAAGTCAACAAAAAGGCACTTTAAGTCAAAGACCATAACTTGAGATTGGTGAATCAAAATGACATGGGACCAAATGCATAGGTTAGAGGACGTCAATACCTTTCCAAAATGTCCAAGAACATGTTCATAGCTTCAAAATTGAGCAAGATATGCATTAGAGAAGTTGGGAAATTTTTGGGAACTTTCAAAAGTCAACTTTGCCTAAAACACTTCATTTCGCTAAATGGGCCTCAAATTCTTTCTTGAATCATTACCCAAGGCCTATGCACGACCCATTGAACTTAAATAGATTTATTTTCTTATTTTTAATTAATTAATTGAATTTTTATTAATATTAATTCATTTAATTGGTTTTAATTGTAGGAAAATTAAAAAGATATGATTTTTGGATCTTTTGTGAAGCAAATATGACTAGGGCAAGCTGGCAATTCGTGTGCACTTCCAAGACCTCAAAATATCCATGATTGGCAAGGTTTCATGAAAGAAAAGATTGAAAAAGATATGATTGGCAATCACACATTCAAACTTGAATACAATGCATTTATGGGCTTAATTCTAACCTAATTCCATTCACATATATGTGCTGAAGAAAACCCTAAAGCTAGACACGAAAAAGCTGCCATAGAAAGCCATAACCAATTTGCAAAAATTCAAGATATACTTGAAAACTGAAATCACTATTGCAGGTGAATTAAAAGCCTAAAAGTGGTTCCAACGTGTTGCTGACATTGCCAGGAAGCCATTGCAATCAAGAACGAAGCTTAACACGCAAGAATCGTTCATCACAAGTGACACGGTTTGAATTATTTTCCAGAATTACATATCCTCAATCATGCGTTTTTAATCCATTTTCTTGATTGGTTTGTGTTGTTAGGAACATTCTGAAGCTAATAGAATAGTCTAATTGCATTATAACACTCTGAATCATGATTTGCCATTAACACGTTTTAGGGTTTCCAAGCTTTTAAATTAGGGCTTTCTTATTGAGGAAAAATCAGGCCTTGAGACTCATACCATTAAACTCAGAAGCTCAAGACGAATCGAATGGAATCCTCGCGCTCAATTTATATCATCCATGTTGCTAAACGCTATTTTCTGCACTTTTGGTTTGTGGGGGTTTAAAACCCCCGCTATCTTGTTTTGTTTTTTACAGGAAACGAAGAAGAAGATGTGCGTGGCATCATGTGACTGGAGGATTCAAAACAGCGCGCGTTACTTTGTTTGATTGTCTTAATGTTTATTTTTCTTATATAATAATTGTTGTCCACTTATATTACAAACGCGCATGGTAGTCCAGTTGGCAAAGGCACAATGGCAAGGAGTGCTGGGACCTGGGTTCGATTCCCAGGTCCCCCATATAATTGTTCTTATTTTTCCCAAAGCGTTCCAATGCAGCGTTCATCCAGTGTTCCACCATAAGCCCCACGCATCAGCTAGCCAGGTGTCTCTCAGCGTCAATCCAGTGGCCAGGAGATGAAGTCCATGATGTGGTCCAGTCAACAAGCACGCACGTGATACCAGAAAGTCAAACAGGGCTTTGTCTTGATGGGCCAGAATTGCTTCAGTACACCTCCACTTTGGGCCATCTAACCCCCTTGGTTTGCATAGTTTTTATTTTATTTTCTTTCCATTTTAATTCTTTTAATTATTTTAATTATTATTATTAATTCATAACTAAATTAATTTTTCCATAATAAAAATCAGAAATCAAAATTGTAAATATGTTTTAATTATTTGTTAATTTCATCATTAACTTATTTTTGTAAATAAATTCTAAACAATTAATTAGTTTAATTTAGGTTTAACTTCAATTTTTTCTTAATAAATAAAAATTATATAGAATTAGGTTTTGACACTTTTAATCTTTTTCTTTAATTAATTATTATTATCATTATTAATTATTATTATTTTTGTACATAAACATGTAAATTAATTAATTAGTTTAAATTAGGGTAACTTTAATATTTTTA